AATATACCTTATAAAGTCAGAAGGTTAGCAACGCAAAGGGGAGTGGGAATTCTGTTTTGTGTGGGATCATTCTCATTTGTTTCCTTAGACTGACGGGCGGAGAACGTGACTTTGGGTCTCTGACATTACAATGACAGGACAAACTCACTGTGTGGTATCCTCCCAGAGGACCACTCCTGATATCTTGTGGTATTTTCCATTTCTATCAGTACGTGGTACTGGGTAAGGAGGTCCAGGGCGATTTGCTTCCACCAATGCTCCTTTGTCTCAGGCCTATCTAGTTAAGAGCACTGGAAGATATATTACAATACAGCACCCACAGACAAGACACACTTATTACAAAAGGAGAAAGTTTATTGCACCACTGCAATAATTACAGCCAATTTGATCAGGCATAATTACAGACACCTTAGGGGGCTGGTATAGATATATCTGCTCCTGCCAAAAGCTAGAGTAGAACTTCCTGTCTCAACCCAAAGACTGTGTGTCTGTGAGAGATTTGTTTTGGACTGAGGGTTTATTGACGGCTGTAGAGAGCTCTGCGGTCATGCCTTCCTGCTTACCCACTTTTTGGGGACTGTGCATAGGTTTCAGTCCCTGTGGAGAAGGGGAAAGTATGAACCTGAATGATATGAGGTGAGGACATGACAAACATCAGTTCAGGGTAAACAGTGAGCAGGTCCTGCAGAAAAATATTTACTGTATCTCCATCATCAAATCCAAATGCCATGTGATGATGTTAATCTGAAGATCCATGAGTCGGGCGGAGGGGGGAGTGGGGGAGAAGAGTTTGGGAGTTTTGTCTTCTCTGAAACTATCTAATCTAAAAACTGATCTGCAACTCTTCCAGGTTAGACATTGAGTTCAACAAGACTTTTGAAATAAAAACAGAATACTCAACAGACCTGTACATCAGCAGAATGAGTGAGGCCAATGCACTATGAACATTAATCTCTTCAGAACCATTACCTAAGGCAACATCTCCTCCACAAGCAATTTCCCTACTGTTTACCAATTATACAATCAAATGTATCACTACATTGCATTTACCATTACCCCATCTCTCCCCAAGTCTCTAATTTCGCAAATGCAGGTGATACAGATGTTTTGCACTTTTCTAAGAAAGCATTCTCTTCGCATATGGAAGCATAGTAAGTCTTTTGCTTGAGGACTGTTAACCCTGATTCTGATCTATAGATCGTTTCTCTGCTGGAGAATATTTTTATTCCTTGGATACACTTCATGAGCACCTGGTCTGTGTCGATCTTATTATTGTTCCATTATCTTAGCTAGATGGTACTTATTTTCCTAAATTTCTTTCATAGGTGAACTCTTGTCTGCTACTTCATACAATTTCCCCATAACATCATCTGGTAGATCTTTAATCCATAAATGGTTGTCATAGAACACAGTTACTCTGTTGAAGCAAATACTTTCTTCCTTATTGTTTTAGATTTCTAGACTAGGCTCTCTCACTGGAAGCGGCAGTCTCTTTATTTGCATTATCCTGGATACTTAGATCAGGCAATTTCACCATTTTTTCCATGTCCTGCATCAGTGGACTTTGGTCTGGCTCCCATTAAGTCATTTGCAGCTCATTTCCCTGGAGTGTTGATCACACTGGATGGCTTCACTCACTGCCATGGATGTTTGACATGTGAAATAAACTTTTACAGAGTCTCAGTCATGTTGCTGAAATATTGCTGTTCGTTCAGTAATATCTCTCACTGGAAATTACTTCTATTTTAGAAGATAGAAATTTGAGCATTTTCACTAGTCATGTGAAGTTTGTTGCTTTCTCTATGACAATCACAATGTTAAACTGTTCATTATGTCAACATAATTTATGTCTCGAGCCCACTGAATTATCTATTTGCTACTTCTTGACACACTGTTGAATGACATTTAGTCATGGACCAATATTTAGACAAATATTAGCTTCCAGATCAGTTGTTCTGTGGGGGTTTATCAATCCAATCTTCTGATGAAATTCAGGTTGAGACATGCGTGCAGGCTTAAAAGTGAAGTTGCTTGATTGTGAACAAGTTCCCCTCCAAGCCACTGGCCATCCTGACTTAGAAATGTATTGCTGTTCCTTCACTATCACCGGGTCAAAATCCTGGAATTCCCTCCCCACCGGCATTGTGAATCAAGCTACAGCACATGGACTGCAGCATTTCAAAAAGGCAGCTCGCTACCACCTTTTCAGGGGCAACTAAGCATGGAAAATAAATACTAGCCCAGCCAGTGATGCCCATGTCCCATGAGTGAACTAAAAACAACTCAATTCAACTCCCATATTTGTGTTGTCTTGTATTGTGACTTGCGATTCACCTACACATCTCATCATTCTACAATATAGCCCTCTTTATTTGTATGACTACAGGTACTCCTGCTGTTTTGAAACTGTCTTTTACTTCTGCATATGCTCGGCATGCTCCTGTGTGCATGTTCTAATGACCTACAGTTTTGTGAATGTAGCATTTCTTAGTGATGTCTGGATTTTGTCTATGCCTGTGAGCCCTTGTTATCCAGTAGAACCGATCTGGATTTTAGCATTCGGTGTTTAGCTTGTTCTGGGTGCAGGCTTGTCATGAGCCTCGCTAGAATGTCCATAACTTATAAAGTAAATAGATTTTCTTGCCCTCTTGATGTAATACTTTTGGCATTGTGTCTCACAATTGGTGTGTCAGGATGCATTTAACAGACATGCTCATGGTATCATCACTGCATCGTAGCACGTGACCTGAGAGTTTAAGGGTCTCAGAATTCATCATAACTCAGGCCCCTTGCAGCATAACACACATGCTGCCCTTTGTAACCTCAAAGCTTAACTTTCGCCCCGGAAATAAAGTGCCTGTGAAGGTAATATTTTTATATATCCGTGAGATCAGATAAACGTCCGTTGGATCTGTCAATACCATGTTACCCATGTCTGGTTCTCATGTGGCGAAGGATAATGTAATCATTGCTGCATCAGGTAAAATAAATACATTGCTGGAGGCAAAACACACCTCAGTGTTGGTCTTCTCCTCTCTGCAGCTGTCCATGACACTTTCTGGTTTTTGCTTCTGGCTTTTGCTGGAAGCAAAAATGGCTTCCTCCAAAGATAACTCTTTCCTGGATTTGAAGAAATATGACAAAGTTTCATGAAGAATTTCAACAATAATTCTGACACTTATGAATTTGATTTTCAAAGCTTTGTATTCAAAGTACTTCACCAATTTCAAATAGAGTTTAATAAAACCATTTATGGATTCTTCTTCTTTTCCAATAAATCTTGCTCACACAATTTCATCTGTAACAAATTGAAAGTAATTATTAAAAACCTTTAGGACATGGTTAAAAGTGTTTGTACTCTCAATGCTTTGTCTGTTAAGAACATTATTTGCAATTGACCACTGGATATAATAATCTATTAACTTGAACAGTTCTAGTCTTGGTAACTAACTTTGAAGCAACACTTAAGAACTGGTGCTGCCATAAAGTCTAGTCATGTATTCTGTACAGTCCTTCCCTGACATTGAAATGGCTGGGAATATTATGTCTGTTTCCATTTTTTTTCTTAGTGAGTAATGTTATTTTTGTAAAGGTATTTTAAATCTTTATCATTCCAATATTACCTTAAATCAGCTGTTCTTGCTGCTTGCATTCTTCTATTAACCAATGCTGCTTTAATTTAAATACATTGAATAACTTATAGGGTCTTCATAAGCGAGTATATCCTTCATTCTTTTTCACTCTATGTAATATTGTGTTGAACTCTTTCAATAAAACTTTAAATGGTATTACTGGTCAGTAATTTATTGCTTTAAAAAATTTAAATCCGTTCCTGTGTATTCAATTCTCTACAAGGATTCCCTGCCTTTTTAAAACAATTTAGGCGTACAAAATGATCAGAGGTATAGATAGAGTGGACAGCCAGAGACTTTTTCCTAGTGTGGAGGTAGCTATTACGAGGGGGCATAGTTTTAAAGTGAGTGGAGGTAGATATAGGGGAGACGTCAGAGGTAGGTTCTTTACTCAGAGAGTGGTAGGGGCAAGGAATGCTATGTTCTATCAAAATGGTCATTGTTCATCTCATCAAGGAATTTCCCACTTTCTGCAGTGAAGATGTTGTTTCCTATCTCTTCACAACTAAAATATACATGTTACCACCTTTCCAGGTCTAAATTTGCTATGGAATTTCAAAGGGGCAGAAACTCCACCTTCACCAATGGCCTAGTAGGGAAAAAAGATTCTACCTGATGTGGTACTCAGGTACACAGACTAGAGGTAGATAGCTTGAGGTTCAGTCTAAGCTCAGTCAGCTGAACTTGACCACAAACATATTTGAAATCAGTTTTGTGTTTTCATTTGCAAGCTGCGCTGTGAGTCTGTGTGAGTTTGTTTCATTTGCTGTGGACCCCACAGTGAAATAGCCAATCAACACTTCCAGTTTCTGCCTAGACATGGAAGATAGGTACAGCTGGGTCAAATGTCAGCCACTGGTTCAAATGGAACCAAACCCCATCAAGAAGCTCAGGAGAGGAAAACAAAAATGGGAAATGCATCTAAAAATGTCAGAATACGATTGTCACACAGTAATCAAAAGCTTGTTTATGTTAAAATGCTTCTTTACATTAAGCATTTGGTGAAGTAGTGTACCAGTATTTGCAGCAGATCCTCTGAAATGTTTGATACAGGAAATATTGTAAATGATGTCACCAATCCTGCATCAAAATAATTCTAGCAGCTATCCCTAAGGAACAGAGCATGACCTTCTATAAATTACAGAAAATCATGTCTTCTCTTAACTGAGTTCATTATTTCAAATTCTGAGGAGCAATCTCTGATCTCACCAATTCTAAACATGACGACGATACTGGGCGGACGTTCTGACTATATTAGAGCCATTTGGCAGCAGCTTTCCCTGCCCATGACTAAACTGAGTAAATATGAGTCAGTGTTTGAATGTGGTGGAGGCGCGAGATATAAAGACTGAACGCAGCAAGGAAAGGGCAGAGCAAGAGAGAGAAGCAGCTCCTTTACTCTGAGAAAGCAGCCAGCTGATCACACAAGAGGCAGAATGAAAGCCTTCCTCCTCACCATTGCTGCAGTGCAGATTCTCCACTGCTCAGGTAGGTACCAGAGAGAGCAGCACCCCATTGAGCAACAAGTTATTGCCAATGAGGCTCACTCGCTGAGATATCACCAATGTGTAAAAATAACTTGCTGAAGAACTCCGGAATGTTTTGTACAACTTTCTTTTTCTCTTGACAGGAATACCGAGCCCTAAGGATGCTCTGAGGGCATCTGTCATTAAACTGAACCAAATCACTGAGATCAGCAATCTGTGTGGGATAACCAGGAGAAGAGTGAAGGATGTAAGTGTGCCCTGGTCTCAGTCCGTTTCACTGTCTAAACTCGACAAGAATATTACTGAGTGCAGTTCGACACAGATATTTAAGCAGAAGCAGAATGTTATACTACACTTATGTTGATGAGAGAATGAGAGTAAGAATATCAGATAGTCAGACACTAATGAACTGTTTTCCTCTCATTAGATTTATCGCACAGGAAAACTGTCGTACAATGTGGATTTAACATTCTCTGTGAAAGAAACCATCTGCTCCAAGAATTCTGGACTGGAATTTGATGATCCCAGCTGTTACTTCCATCCCAAAAAGGCTGCAGTAAGTTCTGAGTTACATTTTCACATCCAAACCCTCATGTATAGGGAGGTTTTTAATAAAAAGGATGGAGTGTACTGGGTTATATCATAGAAAAGACATGTGTACTTAGTGATATCACAGAAACTCACCGTATCTTAGCAAAATTTGCTGCCAATCAATAATTTTTTTTAAAAAAAACTCTCTTTTATTTTGATAGCAGAAAGGTTTGTGCAAAAGCCATGTTGAATATTTTGCTAATGAGGTCGTTGACATTGATGTACAGTGTCAAGGGTTGAAGATGGTTGACAGCAACAGTGACTTATTAGAATCAAACGAAAACAGCAATGAGGTAACCTCACAATTATACTCATCAGGACAATTGAAGTCTTATCATTTCAGATAAGGTACAAAATCTTTCATTGGTTTACTCAGCTAAATTGAGAATTATTAATCTTTTAATATAGGTCAAAACCAGATCAAAACAGATATCAACTGAAGAATCATTGGACGTGAGTATAAATTGAAATTTGTAAAAATATTTTCTTGAGCATAATTATGAACAAAAATTTAAAACTCAAGGCCCCAATTGTGTCTGAATGGAGTGCAAGATGGCACTTTATTTTAAGCTGAGGTATTGTTGGATAGGTATGGGAGGGAGTGGAGTTTCACACATTCTAATGCTGAAACCCAAATACAGAGAAAGTCTCCGCTAAAGAGAAAATCAGCTGAACATTCACAGAGCTGGACAGGTACAAATGGGGGCAGTAGGAGAACAGTTACTCTTACATTTCTATCAATAACAGACACAAATCACTGGACAGTGCTGGAGGGACCTGCCGATTTAGCACAACAAAGCCAAATTGGAGCAGAATTGCAGCCTCCATTAACCTGTCCAACAACATCACAGCTACACTGTCCCAGGGTCAGAGAACCGAAGATAGTTGGTCAGAATTTCTTCACTCCAGCACTGAGTCACTGAATCCTAACCTGGAAATTCAAACTGTTGATACTTCCTATTTATAATCTAATATCAGTTAAACCTTTTGTTGGAAGGTGGTTTTAAAAATCAAGATTATTTACAAAATCCTAAATTTAAAAATCTGAATATTTTCTTCCAGTGGAAAAGCAAGTCAGCAGAGACATCACTCGAGGACTCTCCAAATTTGAGCATCGATGAGGTATTGTGTCAGATAATTATCTCATTTTCTGTTATTTTGCATTCTCATTGACTAAGACTTGCTAATTGTGCTTTACAGCATGAGGCATGGTGAGGAAGTTAGTAACAAGAAGTACCTCAGCTTGTGCAGGAATAGGGCCCACACTTTTGTCATTATTCTAAATCAAATTCTAGCCATCTAACTTACCAATCCACTGCTGTCCCCGGGCTGCATTGATTACTACTTCACTGGAGAACAGTAAGAGTTGGAGAGGAATTATCACAGAGTGACTGAATCCAGATTCTGAACTTCAAAATGTTCTCATTTCCTCATTTATAATCTGATATCATTTAAACTTTTGATTTATAACTGATTCTAAAAATCAAGATTATTTCAAAAATACTAAGTACTAATCTTCATATTCCAGGTGAAAACAAGTCAACAGAAATACCACTGGAAAGCTCTCTAAATGCGAGTTTAATCTGAGATTCTTGATCAGATAATTATTGATTCAAATAATCTGCTGAAACTTGGATTCAGTTGCATCACAATAAAGTGTGAGGCAGCTCAGTGTTTTTATGCAAATATTTTGTATGTGTAGGAAATTTAACTAGTTAAAATTTCCTCATTTATGGTTTAACAATCAGAGAAATCTTTGGTTCAAAGATAATTGCAATACTCAATAACATTTGATAGGTGAGTCATTGATTTCGCTCAATAACCAGATGATTCTTTTTTTTTAAACAGTTGAATATTAAGTCGTCAGAAAGATCACTCGATGTGTCCTCAAATGTGAGTATAAACTGGGATCTGTGTCAGAGAACTGTCTCGAGATCATGATCATCAACAGCAATAAAACAATGAACTCAGTCTATCTGAAAATGACCATTGTCTTCATTCTGTTCACTCCAGGAATACTACGATGATTCAAGATCCCGACACTAACCAGGAATGAAAATTCTGAAAGACTGGACTTGGTCTGAACACAAGACCTCATTCCAAATAAAGAAGATGTATTGACTCTACTTGTTCCTATATAAACCTGAGGCCTGTGGCTGTACGTTTCACTGTAACTGGGAGATTCTATAGTTTGTAAATGTTCTGTCCTTTAATGTATGTTTGTTGTATTCTGTGATTCACATTAAAAGTGTAAATAAGATATTTTCTAACATCATTTAGAACTGAAGGTAATTTTGCTCTGCATTCAAGATATTAAATGTGAGCTCGTCTGCTGGGATTTATCTCTCAAATTCTCTTCTGAGATGATCTCCTCTACCAGCAGTTTACTGTTCATTTACTAATAGACCAATAGTGTCAAATAACCTCTGAATATGATGGTTGCATTATCTTGTTAATGTATGTTTGGATTCAGATTATAATTTTAACAGTATCATTACTGCAGATGTGGGCAGTACTTTGCTATCCTAAAAACAGTTGAATAAATGACTTTCCTTGAGAAAGTGTGTTTTGTAGTATTTTCAGTGTTTACTGCCTTCAGTTTTCATTCTTCACTGTGACGTTGTTTTCACTAAAATTACATTTGACAAAGTTGTGCACCACAAATATCCCTTCAGGGAGATAATGGATTAACTGCATATATTAACAGGATTACAGATAGTGTGACAGTATTGCAATTGTTGAAGAGAATAAGTCATATCCTTTAAGCCAAATTGACAATTCTGGCTCCATAAGGAGGTTTCCCTCAGAATTGCAAAATAAAATCACTTTAGCTTTAACTCAACGTTATGTGGGTTGTCTGAAGAAGAATTAATATGTTGCACAGCCACAGTGTGGCATTATAAATATAGTGGTATGGTTGCAGGCAGAAACTCCCAGCCATGACTTTCCCTTCTTACTTTCTTTGGAATTGTTAGGCCTGAACAAAATATTAATACAAGTATTCCAGATGGTTAGCAATTGAAGTTGTGTGTTAACAATTTATTGCAATCAGTCTCTTCTCAGTCAAATGGAATGTCTGACAACATTGAATGTAGCAAAACAAATTAATCCATTTTTTAATGATGTGATTTTAGATTCACAGAAATACCATTGTTGTATTGCAAGAATGTATCATCTTTGCAATCAGCCTTCAGACAGAATTTTCATTGCTAACCCTGTTGTCGTTGTGATGGTGGAAGTATTTTTGGTTTTTGCCATTTTCCTGTCTGTCTCTACTTGAGGTCTTTGCTGGATTATTGATCCACAGGCACGTATCAGGCTCCAGTAGCTCACTCAAAAAACTATTACTCTGTGGAATCACATTGAGCATGGATGGTCTTTCCTGGAGCAGTGAGCTTTGTTAACTTACAATAAGTTAGATTCTGGAATGCACTAGGCCAATTCAGTTGTATGTACACAGAATGAACTTATGTCTCTGCTACTTATAGCATTTTCCTCCTTTTTCACTTGCATCGTGATCTCTACCTCAAAGTGACTCTTACTCGCACTCAGCTCCTTCATCTGAAAAACAAAATTGGGGGAAAAGAACAAATGGAGCAAAGAATAGTCAGAAAATGGATCCTAAATGTTGGACAGTTAAAGAGTAAAAGCAAGCACTGCTCTTTCCTTTACTCTTTGTCTGGAGATTTTCTTGCAGTCCTTTCTGCAGTGTTGCTAACATCAACAGCAATGTGGTGGAATCCCCAACTCACACAGAAAATGCTGTTTGTGCAATCCTCCTGTGAGGCAGCAACATTGTAATCCAAGCTCCAAGGAAATTCATAGAAACATAGAATCTAGGAGCAGGAGTAAGCCATTTGGCCCTTTGGTCCTGCTCCACCATTCAGTATGATCACGGCTGACTGTCTATTTCAATGCCATATTTCTGCTTTCTCCCATACCTTTTGATGCTTTTAAAATCTAAAATTTATCTCTCTCTTTCTTGAATATATTCAGTGATTTGGCTTCCACAGCTTTCGGCAGTAAAGAATTCCATAGGTATACCACCCCTTTGAGTGAAGAAATGTCTTCTCATTTTAGTGCTAAATGCTCTACCTTGTACTCTGAGATGGTGTCCCCTGGTTCTAGACTCCCCAGTCAGGGGAAACATCCTTCCTGTATCTAATCTGTCCTGCCCTGTTAGAATTTTACACTTTTCAACCAGATCCCCACTCATCCTTCTAAACTTTAGTTCTACTGGGTCTGTATTAGTAATCTTTCCTCATACTACAGTCTTGCCATCCCTGGTATCAGCCTGGCAAACCTCTACTGCACTCCCTCTATGGTAGGTATTTTTTTTTGGGTAGGGAGACCAAACTGCATGCAATACCCCATGTATGGTGTTACTAAGGCCCTGTACAGCTGCAATATGACATCCTAAATTCCGAACTCAAATCCTTTTGAAATGAAGTCCAATATACAATTTGCCAATCATTTGCTTCCTGCATATTTTCACTGACTGGTATACAAAGACACACATTAATGTATGTCCACACTTCCCAGTATACCACAACTTAAAATTTATAATACATCCTGGCGCAGGATAAATTGCCATACAGTGGGGGGGAGGGTGTGTGTGTGTGTGTGTGTGTCTGCGCGCGCGCGCATGCTACCAATGTGCTCAATGATTTCTAGACCAGAGTACCAATTATTACGAAGCCAACAACACTCACTGGAAGGAAGGGCTATCCTTGGTTGTTCCCCTTCACGCTCTGTAACATACCCCAGGGCTAAACTCCCTTTCTCAGAAATGACAAAAAGACAAAGTAGGATGCATTCTAAAGAGTGGAGATGATGGTAGGGACGCTCTAGCAGCGTAAGCTTTATGTTCACATTTGGTGAGCTTTGTTATTTTTCAGCCCTACCAAGGCAAAAGCTACCAATAGTAGTGTCTCACAGATTAATTTGATAAGATTGTCTTTTTTTAAGCCGCTTTCTGACTCTAATGGTGCCTAGTGGCACAGTTCCGACCATACTTCCCTTTCCCCACTATAAAGAGTCTCTCCTGGATACTTTACCATCACCATCGACTTTCTTCTCCTCCGCCACTTCGTGTGATAGACTCTGAGAACTGTCATTCACAGTGCTTTGTGAACTATTAGTCGATGAGTCTACAGGGGCTATAGGCAAGAAAGGTGGGTAAAGATTATATTAGCATTTCAATTCAACAGAAACATGACTGTTTGTGAGAGGGAGGAAGAGGTATGTCAAACTTCTATTTATCATTAGTGTCCAACTCATCCTAAGATAACAAGGTGTAGAACTGGATGAACACAGCAGGCCGAGCAGCATCAGAGGAGCAGGAAAGCTGATGTTTTAGGTCTGGACCCTTCTTCAGAAATGACCGACATGGGAAAGACAAAGACATTTTCATCTAGGACCTCTTCAGACATTTCTGAAGAAGGGTCCAGACCCGAAACATCAGCCTTCCTGCTCCTCTGATGCTGCTCGGCCTGTTGTGTTCATCCAGCTCTACACCTTGTTACCTCAGGTTCTCCAGCATCGGCAGTTCTTACCACCCCCCAACTCATCCTAAGTTTGGTTTGTCTGTGGGACCTTCATGGTCTGAGTTACCCAAAATTATGCAATACTATTACTCATCCAATCAGGCCATTGGTATGGCCTCGTTGGACATGGATGTTGCCGGCAAGGCCTGCATTTGCTGACACACCTTTGAGAAGTTGGCTGTGAGCTGCCTTCAAGGAATGCTGCAGTCCATCTGGTTCAACATTTCTGCTGCGGTTTGGAACAACTAAGTTGCTTGCCCGGCCACTTTACAGGACAGTTAAGAGTCGATCACATTGAGGTGGGTCTGAGAATCAGACAACAATTGCAGACTTGCTTTTTTAAAAAAGGACATGAGTGAACCAGGCGTGTTGTAATATGGCACCGATTCACAATGTTCTCTGGAATACAATCACCTTCGGTGGCTATGTCATGGAGTCAATGTAATGTGTTTTGTCAACAAATTGTGTGCAAGTAATGTCCAATAACATCAATGAGTACAAAACCCAATATACGTGTAAGTCTGTGATATTGCAGCTATGAAAATAGTCAGCGTTAAGTAATGAGTAAATTAGACGTCTGTCTCAGCAAGAACCTAACTCTGCGCTATATGTTGTGCATACTAATATATAGAGAACTACAAACTGAATCAAGCTGGGTTTTTTTAGGATAGTTATTAATAGTTTCAAAGCCTCATTACTGAGCTTGGCTAGCAATTCTATATTTTGAAAATTAACTGAATTTCATTAATTTAGTTTAAATTTGAACCCATGTTACCAGAACATTAACCTGGAACTCCAGAGTACTAGCCTAGTGACATTATCACTATGCCACAGCCTCACCCTGAAAGGATGGTCAAGGTGACTGCAGAGAAACAGTTGACACTGAGTATGGCATATTAGTATTGAAGCAACTTGTGCAGAGGACAGATCCTACAGCCATACAGCAACTATATCTTCAACAGATCTAGGAGGTTTCTCAAATAGTCATATTGCCGTTCGTAAGTCATTGGAGGATATTCGGTGAGTATAGATAATGATATAAAAGTAGAAGTTGCTGGAACAGCTCAGCAGGTTTGGCAGCATCTGAGAAGAAACATCAGAGTTAACATTTCAGGTCCAATAACCCTTCCTCAGGACTGGATAATGATATCAGGAACAAAAACAAAGTTGCTGGAAAAGCTCAGCAGATCCGGCAGCATCAGTGAAGGGAAAAAATAGAGTTAACGTTTCAGGTCCGGTGACCCTTCCTCAGAACACTTTTACCTTCACAGATGCTGCCAGACCTGCTGAGCTTTTCCAGCAACTTTGTTTTTGTTCCTGATTTACCTCTGCAGTTCTTTCGGTTTTTTCTGAATAATGATATGTTTTTCAAACAGACCATTTTACAATTAGATTTCACATTTCCAAGATAATTTGTTGAATGTTATTATTGATTACATGTTTTTTATTAAAGCTGGTTAACAGTGAATAGTTTTCCACTTCCTTCCCTTACTCATTTGGCACATGTTGGATTCTGTTTCCACAACCATTCCACTGGCCAGGCAGAATGAGACTGAGCAATGGGAAAGCCAAATGACTAGGGGTAATGTCATCAGGCTGTTTGACCTATAGTAAGAGTCAGTAAAGATCTTCTAGAATAAGAGGAGAGAGAACATTAGAGTCTGTAACGGCCTTATGCTTAACCTAGTCTCTCCGTGAACATTTCAGCAGAGATGACAGGAACAGGAATGTCAAGTTGATTTGTTCGTTGGAAACTAGATCCTTGAGACTCATTTTAACATCTCAGTTGCTTCAACATAGAAGAGGTCTTGGGTCTGGCTGAAGTGTTTCCTAATCCATAATCAGTTTCACATCATGTGACACCTGGAAATTTTTAGAGTTAAGACCTGAGATACTTGAATAAGCTGTAGATCTTTACTTACTCTTACTATCTACTGTTGTCTTTTCTGCTTTCTCCACAGTTTCAGAGGGTAACAGTGAATCTAAGGTAACAAAACAAAGATAAAATATTAAACCTCGTGAGATTTGGATTTACATTATTTCTAATTCATGACTCTAACATATATAACATTGAACAAGTACTACCCCTTTGCCAAGTAACTTTTCACTAAGCTCATGCTCTTGCTATGTTTGCTATGTAACATCAACGACTGTATGCCAAAGGTAATCCAGTGGTTGTGTGAAATGCTTTGAAACATTTAGAGGATGTGATAAAAGACAAATTATTTTCTAGCTTTGAAAAATTTCAGCTAGAATCTTAGTTTTTAAATTGAACTTGTTTGATGTGAAATTTAAGGCACACAGATGGCTTAAAGCTCATGAAGCATAATCCTTTATTCCACTGGCATCAGCTATTTACAAACATCAAAGGGGAATCAAGTTTAAGTGGGAACACAATCAACATACACGGAATTAAGCCTGTACCTCATATCTATTTGAGGAAATTCTTTGTCAGTCTCTCCCTCTCCTGATGAGGCCTCTAACAGTTACCCTTACCTTCAAAAGGGATTCACTAAACTGCTCTAGCTTCCCTGCTCAGTGATCTTCCTCCCCTTTTGTCATCTGATGTTCAAAGCTCTGTTATACATTTGCCTGATTGAGACTTGCCTTCTCACAACTTAATCTAGCACACACTGACCATTTCCTAATCAGTTATGTGATCCAAAAGGTTCAATTAAGCCATGATGCCTAGAATGTTCAAGTACAAATTAGCTGCAGCATCCTTGTCTTACTTCATCAGGCCGAGTAAATGGTAAGGGTTGGGGTGATATTCAGCATTTGCTTTAGAAGACTTTTTGTCTGCACTAACACTGTCAGTGACTTAAGCCATTAAGCACTAACATCAAGTTATCGAGTCATAGAGGCATACAGCACATTAACAGACCCTTCAGTCCAAACACTCCGAACATAATCCCAAACTAAACTAGTGCCACAGTCAATAAATGTGGAGCTGGAAAAACACAGCAGGTCAACAGCATCCGAGGAGAAAGAAAGTCAACAGTTCAGGCCAAAACCCTTAATCAGGACTGGGGAGGGAGAAGGGACGCCAGAAATAAAAAGAGGGAGGGGGCTGGGGCTGGGGAAAGGTAGGTCGGATGGTGATAAGTGGATGCAGATAGGGGGTTATTGTGACTGGTCAGTGGGAAGGGTGGAGCGGATAGGTGAGTAGGAAGATGAATGGGTTAGGCACGCAGCAACTGACCCGACATTCCTGTTGCCATCCATTTTAATTCCCCCTCCCACTCCCCTGACGACATGTCCATCCTTGACCTCTTCCACTGTCAGTGTGAGGCCAAACATAAATTGGAGGAACAACACCTGATATTCCGCCTTGGGAGCTTACAGCCCAATGGTCTGAATATCGACTTCACCAGCTTCAAAATCCCTCTACCCCCAGCCTCATCCGATGTCCCGCCTCCCTGACCTGACCTAACCTAACCTGTCCACCTTCCTACTCAACTATTCACTCCACCCTTCCCACTGACCAGTCACAATAACCCCCTACCTGCATCCACCCTACCATCCCACCTACCTTTCCCCAGCCCCATGCACCCCCCTCCCATTTATTTCTGGGCTCCTTTTCCCCTCCCTAGTCCTGCCATAGGATTTCGGCCTGAAGCGTTGACTTTCCTCATCCTCAGATGCTGTCCGACCTGCTGTGTTTTTCTAGCTCTCCCTCCAAACCATTCCTATTCATGTACTTATCCAAATGTCTTTTAATTGTTGTAATTGTACGCACATCCAAAACTTCCTCAGAAAGTCCATTCCACATGCGAACGACCCTTGTGTAAAAAATTTGCCCCTCATGTTTTTTTAAAAAATTTCTCCCCTCACCTTAAAAAAGTGCCCACTAGTCTTGAAATCCCCCATCCTAGGGAAAAGACAACTGCCATTAACGCTATCTATATCCTCATTATGAGACAAACTTCAATAAGGCCACCTCTCAACCTCCTACACTCCAGTGAAAAAAGTCTCGGCCTACCCAGCTTTTCTTTATAACTCAAATCTTCCACACCTGGCAACATCTTGGTTAGTGTCTTCTGAACCCTCTCCAGCTTAATAATATCCTTCCAATAACTGGGCGACCAGATCTGGACACAGTATTCTAGAAGAGGCTTCACCAATGTCCTGTACAATGTCAACATGATGTCCTAACTCCTGTACTCAAAGGGCTGCAATGAAGGCAAGTGTGCCAAACGCCTTTTAAACCACTCTGTCTATAATATGATGCAAACTTCAAAGAATTATGTACCTGCAACCCTAGGTCCCACTGTTTTATAACACCACCTAAGGCCCTACCATTAATTATATAAGCCCTACGCTTTGTTTGTTGTACCATATGCAATACCTCGCACTTATCCCGATTGAACTCCATCTGCCATTTTTCAGCTCATTGACCCATTTGATAAAGATCCCTTTGTAATCTTCAAAAACCTTCTTCACTGTCTACTTTGCCACCAATTTTGGTGTCATCTGCAAGCTTACTAACCATGCCTTCTATAGTCTCATCCAAATCATTCGTAAAAGTGACCAACAAAAGAGGACCCAGAACCGATCCCTGTGGAACACTGCTGGAGACAGGGCTACAGTCCGAAAAGCAACCCTCCACCACCACTCTCTGCTGCTTGCCTCCACATCATCTACCAAAATTTTAGCCTCAAGAAATTCTCCTCCATGTATCGTTTTTTTTGAGATCACCCTCCAGCTACTGGTTCAGAAACAATTTTACAGAAATACCCATCTATGTCAGCAGCTATCCCAGACAAGTAACACCACTCACTAATCAAGGTATACTCCTTTCCTGTCTCTTGGTGTCCTGCTTGATCCCGAAGTGCTACCACACTTGAGGCAGCAAGGAAGGATGCGTTGCTTCACCTCTCTCTCCTTGTCATGAGACAGTTGATTGAAGGCTCCATCCTCCTCCCTGCTCTTCTTCCGGCACCTCAACAATTTCTTGCCTATTTGGGCTCCTTCATCACTGGCACTGGGGTGGTGGATGTTGGGCCTTCTGTTAAATGGTGCTGAAACTGTACGAGGTCCTCCTTCGAGATTGATGGCAAAAGTTAAACCACACCTGACTCTACCTGTCCAGATTTGGTTTGGATTTTATTCATAAGTACATTCACGACAATCCACTGAATCTTAGTCCAAATATCATAGGGAATTAATGTTGGAATGCTGCCCTTGACTTGGCTGGCATTTGAAAGTAGTTGAGTGGATTATGGTTTGTAAACACTCCAAACACCGCGCCAAAATCAGAATGTCTCTGAACTTCTTGGAAATAGTCCATCTCAAACCAATCAATTCGAACTTCATACTGGAGTATTTCTTCATATTCCTGTCATTCAGCTTGACACTCCATGTGGCATATGTAATAACTACTTTTCTGACCTAGAATCTGTGATAGCACCATTTCTTGGCCAAGGAAAACTGGCGTCAGTTTCTAGTTTGAAAGGGAGAGGGAAATTTGGGTGGCCAAGGACAGGCAATGAGAAGAGATTCTGCTTCAGACTACAATAGAAGTCTTCAAATGCTGGGGTCCCTGGACATATTTTCCTTGTTTTCATCAGCATGTTATAGAGTGGGGGGTTAACTATGCTTAGCCTTGCAGAAGCTATTTATGATATCCAGCGAGAGCAAGGAACTCTCCATCTTAGGATAGGGCCACACCTGGACCACACAGACTGTTTCAGCATTGACAGTAATGTCTCCCTTGGCCTAAGATACCAAATTTTACTCTGGAAAAGTTGGCACCTCTCTGGTTTGACTCTCAAGTTAAACTTCACCGAGCAGTTAAGATGGTGCTTAGTCTTTCAAGGAAAGATTGGAGATGAAGATTACCAAAAACTTTGATCCATACACACGTATGTCTTGCTCCACATGGGGTGGTATCTTATAACCAGGGGTCAAGCTGAGACTGCAGAAATACTTTCTTTGAGGACTTGCAATGTTTCCTCGGTCCTAGGTAGATAACAAACACCCCTGTAGGAATTTGCATTTGGTGTCTGGTAATTGACACAACTCCTCAGTTTTCCACCTTTCTTCCTTACGAGGACTATGGGGGAAGACGCACGTCAACTTGATGACTCTCAGATGACACCTAGCGCCAAAGAATTCTGCTGGTAATCTTGGACTTCCATCCAGTGATGGGTTGGGACATGACAGTAAGGAGTCTTTCCTGGGTAGTCACCTTTAATTACAATCCTGTGGTTTACCAGACTATAACACCTGATGTCATCATCACCTTCACTGAGAGTTGTCCCATATTTGTGTGAGAATATAAACGTGCTGTCTTCTCTGGGTGCCCTCCAACTCGCCAATGCCGACCTTTGAAACAAAATTGGAAGACATCTCCTCCAGTCAGTCTACTATCCAATACAGTGGCAGGTTAAAAGACACCAAAGGACATTTTTGGTTGGAAGGAAGCATCTTTGTTGTGGCAATCCACATGGTTACCGGACCCTTTTCACCCACAGTGACCAGGGTGGCTCCCAAAGTTACACAAAGTGAAACCACTCCTACATGTGACACATGACACTCTAGGAAGGCCTAACATCGACTGTTGGAGATGGCTGTCATGAGCCTTCAAGAACGGTTTTGGAGTGGGCGGCTAAAAGAACAGATTTCCCTGCCACTCAAACAGTTCTAGGATCCATACAGGCTGACACGCACTTAAACTGTACAGATCAAGGTCAAAAACTCTTGTGTCCCATCTGCTGACCTCGTTATGCTCCACTCAAAGCACAATTCTGTCCATCCTTTCCAAGGATGTCCAGATATCTCTTAATACGTTTGACTGCAACACCATCAGCATTCTCAACATCCTTACTTTCACTGGAATATTGAGTGTGTCACAAATTACCACAGGCTATGAAAAGTGTGAATGAGGACAGATATGGAGAGCTTGATGTAGGCATGACTGAGCCCTGTGAAGTGCGGATCCAGATTGGGGAAATGCGGCCATTGATCTACATATGCCCCTCAGCAAGATGTTCAGGGAAAAACTGGTGAGTCATGGCTGATGCGCCCACTCTTATATTAATTAGGCACAACACTTCATGCTCGTTGTTGGACAGGTCCCTATTGCTTTCTCACCCCTAACCCAGCATCATCCTCAATGCCCCCCCTCCCACATACAGGGAATGTTTAATGGAAACATTACCATCACTGTCCACCTTCTCTGCTGCTTCATAGAATAGACTCTGTGAACTCTCATTCACAGTGCTCTGTGAGCTGTCAGTGGGCGCGCCTGCAAGAAAGAAAGGCAAATAAAGATTTACAATCTTAACCACGTCTGTACCACCATTACGAGTGGTATTTTCACCTCCTTCATATCACTACAGTGTCCCCAAATCTCAGCTCATCTGCTGCTAAAACCCTCATTGATGCCCTTGTTATGTATTGATTTGACTATTACAATGGACTATTAGATGGTCTTACACATCCTACCCTCCACAAACCTATGTTCATTCAAATCTCTGCTGCCTTCTATCCCAACTCACACCGAGTCCTGCTTAGCTCTCACCACTGTGCCTACTGACATAAATTGATGCCAGTTAAGTCACGAATTGATATTAAATTTTTCATCCTCATATGCAAACTGCTCCATGGCCCTGTCCTTTCCTATCTCTGTAATCTCCTCCAGCCCCAAAATTCTAGAAATATCTGTGCTCTCATTCTGACCCTACTTTTCTCCTTTAAGGTACAAATTAAAACCTACCTTCTGCAGTTAATATCACCTCAAAGTGTGTGGCATGGTGTCAAGTTTTATTTTTGACAATGCATGAAACATCTTGGGATGTTTACTGCGTGGAAGATGCAATATAAACACAGGCGGTCGTGGTTTTGTATTTTTCTCAGCCTCCAGAAGCTGCACCATGCCAGCATTTCACAGAAACATGAACTGGATGTACTTACATTACTGACACCCACTAAACTTGCCACCAAAGGTACAAGCTTGTTTCGAGATTAAGGGGATTCAATTAAACTGTAGGTCTGTGTTTTCTTGAACAGTATGAAAAAAATAGCTGCACCTACTCTCATTATCTACTGTAGCCTCATCTCTTCTCTCCACTTGGTCAGTCTCCAGCTTTGCACCTTCAAAGCAAATGGAAGACAGGAAGGAAAAATATTATAATCATTCACACCAACTCATAAATTCATCACAAGGCACAAGATTGCTTAGCTTCACTTGCAGTCTGGTGAACATCCTCTGAAATCGAGATTTTTCTGCGGCTCAATCCAGGAGCTATGTTGGGGGGCTGGGTTGCAGACTCACTGATCTTGATTTCTGCAGAGTCATGAAGATGCCATGGCTTATTCAAAATTGCGTTGGGAACACGGGTCTAGAAATCCTACCCTGAATTTCCAACAGATCTCATTTAAGCTGGTTAGGTGGTGGGGCTAATTTACACTTAGGGGAAAGCAGAAATCTGCAAGGTCATTTAAACGCAATGCTATTTTCAAACAGACCGCATTTTCACTAGAGTAAGAGCCTTATGCCTCAATGTGTGAGTTATGACTTTTTTGTTAACAGGAGGCATAAATGGGCCATCAAATGGATTGTATTGCCATGAATGGACATGGAGTATAGGTGGCAGAGTAAATGGTGCAGAAATGGAAGGGCTAGAGAGCCAAATATTTATTAACTCTGCTTGGAGGAAGGCCGAATGAACTGAGATAAGCCTATCTTGGTAGTTGGCAGCCCTTGTGACTGTCTTTGAATGGTGGCTGGTTCCAGTACACATTCACCTCATGCAGAACGAAGACCATGCCATTTGACACACTTTGTCCCCCTGAGGTGAATGCATATGTCTTTGGGAGTAAAGGTCCAGGCTCCTGTCTACGTACGAGTGACTTGGTTGCACAGAGTAGCTCCACAAGATGTAATTCGATTGCTGGCTCATTTGTCACATTGAGCTCAGTCACTGAAAACTTCATTACATTTAAAAGAGGTAAGTATCCCACTCATGTTACAAGCATAACACACGTTGATTACAATAATGTAATATTACATTTACCATATATCTGGGTAAACATTGAATGTATAAGACAACTATAGTTCTTCAGTGATCACAGCCCGCCAGCTGTCCTTTCTCCCCTCTCCTCCCCTCCCTTCCACACACCTTGCCTCCCTCAGAAACTCCTTCACATATCCACAGGAGGAAAGGTGGGGGCTAGAAGATGCTGTTCAAGAAATCACTGCTGTTGATTTGTTTGTCCCTCAGGAGTTATTTGAATGGAGCTTCCGCTGACATCGTCATCACAGACAAAATCGCGGTGCTGTCTGAGTATGCACAACAGGTGGTCAATCTGCCAATCTCATCCGGTTGCAATAGAGCTTGGAACAAAACAGTGCAATCGGTCCAGTAGCAGCAGATGGGAGTTGGCCAGGTTGAGGTCATTCATGTCATAGCAACAGGCCAGGGAGCTCTGGCCAATCACTCTACTCATCTCGATTGTCAATCCATGTTCAGGATTCTGCCTGGGTCCATATCAAGCAAGCGCATAAAAGGCCTCAGAAAAAAAAGTCAGTTGTCTAAAATTGGACTCTTAGCTTTATGCCTGAAGCAATGTTCTCAAAAATGTGACTGTTACATGGGTAAGTAAATAATGTAGACTTTTCATGGCACACAGCTTCTGCATAAAATATGCATAACAAAACAACACACATTACAATTACATTAAGCAAAAGCATTAAGAGAAGAGTGACTTTTTGGTGTAAGTTGAATCAAAATTATTGCCTTTATGATGCAGTTCATTTAACTTGAACCTATTTGTCTAATTTAAAATTGTAACATTCTGAACATGATGCTTTGTCAAATATTCTTGAAGACCCAAGGGAAATCACAGATTCAAGTAGAATGATGATGTGATTGGCATACAGTGCCAATGTGATAGTCAGAGTGGAGGCCCCAAAATATGCAAAAACATGGTCTGATGCTGTCATCCGGTCTCCATTTACAACAAAACTCACTAATATTTGGATGGGGTATGGGGATTGGGTGTGTGTGTGTGTGTGCATGTGTGTTAGAGAGGGTCAGGTGCACGCGGTGTGCTTTGGTCCTAAGGTGGGCGCAGTGCTAGGGGATTGACTCTGGCACTTTAAGACACTGACTCCTGCAGCCAACTCTCAGAGCCTGACATACAATGCCACATGACAATACATCATTAGCATTACTGGGACCAGTAGCATTACCATTAGCATTACTTCTCCCCCCACCCCAAACTCCCACCAGCAGGTTTTAAGGTGGCAATGGTTGCTGGTGTTTATTGTAAAATCCAGCAGGTGGACTGCTTGTTTCACCCTACCTAGCTCTGGTCCATATGAATTTTCAATGGGAGCGCTGGATGCATCGAGAGGCCACTTAAGGGCCTCACTCACTGTGCACCTTGGCTATTATTTTACCCACAGCAGAGGGAAGCAGGTAGCCTGGCAATGTTAGCTATGGACAAGCCCTGCGCCTACACAGGATCTGCTCAGATGAGAGGGAGCACGACGGACACCTAAAGATGGTGAAAAACACCCTCATAAGAACAGGATACCACGCTCAACTCATCGACCACCAGTTCCGACATGCCACAGCGAAAAACCGCGATGACCTCCTCAGAAGACAGACACAGGATACGACCGTTAGAGTACCCTTCATCGTCCAGTACTTCCCCAGAGCGGAGAAACTACACCATGTTCTTCGCAGCCTTCAATATGACATCGAGGACGACAAACATCTCGCCAAGATCATCCCTACACCTCCACTTCTCACCTTCAAACAACCACCAAACCTTAAACAGACCATAATTTGCAGCAAACTACCCAGCCTTCAGGACAACATCAACCACAACACCACACAACCCTGCGACGGCAACCTCTGCAAGCCATGCCAGATCATCGACATGGATACTACCATCACACATAGGAACACCACCCACCACGTACACGGCAGATACTCATGTGACTCAGCCAATGTTGTCTACCTTATACGCTGCAGGCAAGGATGCCCTGAGGTATGGCATATTGGCGAGACCATGCAGATGCTAAGACAACAGATGAATGGACACCGCACAACAATCACCAGACAGGAATGTTCCCTCCTAGTCGGGGAACACTTCAGCGGTCAAGGACATTCAGCCTCAGATCTTTCGGTAAGCGTCCTCCAAGGCAGTCTTCAAGATACATAACAATGCAGAATTGCTGAACAGAAACTGATAGCCAAGTTCCGTAGCCATGAAAACCAAAAGAACTGCAGATGCTGTAAATCAAGAACAAAAACAAAGTTGCTGGAAAAGCTCAGCAGGTCTGGCAGCATCTGTGGAGGAAAAAACAGAGTTAAC